CCCCCAGCCTCTTCCCCAGTGATATCCTGTCTGGTATCCGTGGGGTGGCGGAGCTCAGGAGCTCAAACACAGCCATTCTAGCTGGTAATTCCTATGCATCTTTCCATCTCCCTGATTCTGCCAAGCAGAGAGGTGTTTCCTCCTTAATGCAGCACATCATCCATACTTGCTTTATGGCCTTAACTCATTGCTGTAATTGTTTACCTATTTTCCCCACTTGACTGTGAGTACCTAGAAGCTTTATTCTATTCTTTGTATTTGGTGCCTAGAACAGTGCTTATTGTTAAATAAGAACTTGATAAATTTTTGTGGATCTACTAATAAAAGCCTCTGCTCTCCCTAATTTAGTCAACCAACCAATCAATCCATGTCTTAATAGGCAGTGGAGTGCACAGAATTCATGCAACAATGTGTCAGGCACTGTTCTAGGCTTTGGGGATACAGCAGTGAACAAAGCAGATAAAAATCCCTGCTCCCATGGAGGTTACATTCTAGAACATGGAGACTGACAGTAAAAAAAAAAAAAAAAAAAAAAAAAAGGTAAAATGTGTAGAATGTTAGTAATAGGTGCTATGGAATGCAGGGGGCGGTGTGGTGTGTCCCTTTTGTATAAAGAAGGCCTTACTGAAAAGGTGACTTTATATTAAAGAATTGAAAGAGATGAAGGATTCATATGATGGGGATCAAAGAGAAAGAATGGACAGGTGAAACAACAAACACAAAGGCCCAGCGGTGGAAAGAAATGCAAGAAGTCAGTGAGGCTGGAGGGAAGGAGGGGAAATTAAAGACATAAAGTAAAAGAGAGGCATTTAACGCCATTGTACACTTATAGGAGCTTCAAACTGTTTTTGGAGCAAGATAGAATAAACATTGACTATAATATAGTAAGTATAAACACTTTAGACAATAAGAATGCTCTAGTCATAACGGGAGAATAAAGACTTTAATTCTACAAGTTATGGTATCTCCTAATTCAACTTCATTCAATGCAAGCTCTCTATTCCTTATTGCATGAACTAGTTATGCACTGTGGTGCTAAGTTATTTATAAGGCAAATCTTTGTTTGCAGTTATTTCCCATTATTACATCAGAGATGTGTTCCTTCCCTTTTCACCAAAACAACAGCAATGAGAGATTCCCCCAGAGAAGCTGAAACCTCTCTCCTACTCCCCTCCAGCCACACTGGCTCCCTAATTAGAACACCAGTCAGAGCCTAGTCAAAATCCCAAACCTAATCATTCCTTTTGCATTCAATATTTCTTAACTCTGGAAGACCCCCCCCCCGCCACCGTTTTGTTTTGTTTGAATTTTATTTATTTTTTAAAACAGCAGGTTCTTATTCGTTATCCATTTTATACATATTAGTGTATATATGTCAATCCCAATCTCCCAATTCATCACACCACCACCACCACCCGCCCCCGCCACTTTCCCCCCTTGGTGTCTGTACGTTTTTTCTCCACATCGTGTCTCAATTCCTGCCCTGCAAACCAGTTCATCTGTACCATTTTTCTAGGTTCCATATATATGCTTTAATATACGATATTTGTTTTCCTCTTTCTGACTTACTTCACTCTGTATGACAGTCTCTAGATCCATCCACGTTTCTACAAATGACTCAATTTTGTTCCTTTTTATGGCTGAGTAGTATTCCATTGTATATATGTACCACATCTTCTTTATCCATTTGTCTGTCAATGGGCATTTAGGTTGCTTCCATGTCCTGGCTATTGTAAATAGTGCTGCAGTGAACATTGGGGTGCATATGTCTTTTTGAATTATGGTTTTCTCTGGGTATATGCCCAGTAGTGGGATTGCTGGGTCATATGGTAATTCTATTTTTAGTTTTTTAAGGAACCTTCATACTGTTCTCCATAGTGGCTGTATCAATTAACATTCCCACCAACAGTGCAAGAGGGTTCCCTTTTCTTTACACCCTCTCCAGCATTTGTTGTTTGTAGATTTTCTGATGATGCCCATTCTAACTGGTGTGAAGTGATACCTCATTGTAGTTTCGATTTGCAGTTCTCTAATAATTAGTGATGCTGAGCAGCTTTTCATGTGCTTCTTGGCCATCCATATGTCTTCTTTGGAGAAATGTCTGTTTAGGTCTTCTGCCCATTTTTGGATGGGGTTGTTTGTTTTTTTAATATTGAGCTGCATGAACTGTTTATATATTTTGGAGATTAATCCTTTGTCCATTGATTCGTTTGCAAATATTTTCTCCCATTCTGAGGGTTGTCTTTTCGTCTTTGTAGTTTCCTTTGCTTTGTAAAGGCCTTTAAGTTTCATTAGGTCCCATTTGTTTACTTTTGTTTTTATTTCCATTACTCTAGGAGGTGGATCAAAAAAGATCTTGCTGTGATTTATGTCAAAGAGTGTTCTTTCTATGTTTTCCTCTAAGAGTTTTATAGTGCCCAGTCTTACATTTAGGTCTCTAATCCATTTTGAGTTTATTTTTGTGTATGGTGTTAGGGAGTGTTCTAATTTCATTCTTTTACATGTAGCTGTCCAGTTTTCCCAGCACCACTTATTGAAGAGACTGTCTTTTCTCCATTGTATATCCTTGCCTCCTTTGTCATAGATTAGTTGACCATAGGTGGGTGGTTTTATCTCTGGGCTTTCTATCCTGTTCCATTGATCTATATTTCTGTTTTTGTGCCACTACCATATTTTCTTGATTACTGTAGCTTTGTAGTATAGTCTGAAGTCAGGGAGTCTGTTTCCTCCAGCTCTGGTTTTTCCCTCAAGACTGCTTTGGCTATTCAGGGTCTTTTGTGTCTCCATACAAATTTTAAGATTTTTTGTTCTAGTTCTGTAAAAAATGTCATTGGTAATTTGATAGGGATTGCATTGAATCTGTAGATTGCTTTGAGTAGTATAGTCATTTTCACAATATTGATTCTTCCAATCCAAGAACATGGTATATCTCTCCATCTGTTTGTATCATCTTTAATTTCTTTCATCATTGTCTTATAGTTTTCTGCATACAGGTCTTTTGTCTCCCTAGGTAGTTTTTTGTTGTTGTTTTTTAAATAGATTTATTTATTTATTTATTTTTGGCTGCGTTGGGTCTTTGTTGCTGCCCGCGGGCTTTCTCTAGTTGCAGCGAGCGGGGGCTGCTCTTCGTTGCGGTGCACGGGCTTCTCATTGCGGTGGCCTCTCTTGTTGCAGAGCATGGGCACGGGCTTTAGTAGTTGTGGCACGTGGGCTCAGTAGTTGTGGCTCATGGGCTCTACAGCGCAGGCTAAGCAGTTGTGGCACACAGGCCTAGTTGCTCCGCAGCACGTGGGATCCTCCCGGACCAGGGCTCCTGCATTGGCAGGCGGATTCTTAACCACCGCGCCACCAGGGAAGCCCCCTAGGTAGGTTTATTCCTAGGTATTTTATTCTTTTTGTTGCAGTGGTAAATGGGAGTGTTTCCTTAATTTCTCTTTCAGATTTTTCATCATTAGTGTATATGAATGCAAGAGATTTCTGTGCATTTATTTTGTATCCTGCTACTATACCAAATTCATTGATTAGCTCTAGTTTACCAAGTCCATTAAAGTGTGCCCTATATCCTGGGATTTACCTCTGCTAGTTCATAGGAGGGAGAGTTGAGTTTAGCCTACAGTGATCAGACTGTAAGTTGAACTGGATCCACCAGCACCCTCGTTGGTGTGATTTAAATGTCAGGTTAGCAGCTTAATCTGGTGGCAGCATGCAGGATCAAATGAGAGGGCCACAGCGTCTGTCAAAGAGTGGGGTAAGTATGGAGGATTGGGTGCTGTCTCAGATCCAGTGATTTTGAATAAGCTACACTTGTTCAGGGGGCAGCGGGAGATATAGGACCCAAGTCAGGAGAAGGATCAGGGACAAACTGATGAATCTGGAAGTCACTTTTCTTGTCCCTACATGGTCAAGCCATGACTGTCATGGCACTATGGAAAAATTATTTCAGGTCTCAGTACAATGAGGGTCTTTTACTTTGATATGTCATCTTTCCATAAATTATTGTTTTTTATGTGTGCAGAGAGCATGTCCTAGGGGTCATTAACTTACTGAGCTCACTGGGCAGGATGTGGGTCTCATGCCACCAGGGTTTTATTTTTGGGGGGCATGTCTCATACTTCTGTTGCATGGTTTGTTGCTAAGCAGGCCTGCTTGGTTTTGTGGTTAAGCAAACCTGTTTTCTTGAGTGATCATTAACTTACAGGGGTCTCCCATACTTTTTTCTTTACTTGCAATCCCCTAGTGGGATTAACTATTTAATTACCTAATTTGTCCCTTTACTCTGTCCCTATCACAATCGTATATGTATATAGTATGAGAGTTTAAAAAAATGTGCCAAAAAACAGTACAAAGCTGCTAAGTGTTTGAGTTACAAAACTAAGGAACAAGAGCATGGCAATGAGCCTCAGCTTCCACATCTGTAAAACGGGGTTTTTGTGAGGATGGACGAGATCATGTAAAGTACCTTAATGGGTGCTCAATAAATTCTTCCGATCATTATTATTGTCACCGTAACTAGCCAGAATACAGAAGTTAAAAACATATCCCTCCCCGACTTCCCTGGTGGTCCAGTGGTTAAGCCTTAGTGCTTCCAATGCAAGGGTCATGGGTTCGATCCCTGGTCGGGGAGGTTCCACATAGCGATCGGGGTGCGCCCTGCCCCCTACAAAAAAAAAAATATATATATATATATATATATGCCTCCCACCCTGCTAAGAATTAAATAAATGAATTCATTCAGAAAAGATAAAAGTGAAAGAAAGCCAAGGGAGTAGGGGGAGGGTAAAGCGAGTCCTGGACAGGTAAGGTGCTCTCTCCGTCAGAGCTCAAGCTGGCTGCACGGATCTGACTGTATTTTCACAAAAGTTAAAAGACCCCGGCGGGCAGGAGGGGGCGGGGGCGTTCTCATGCTTCGCCTCTTCCTGCGGCGCACGCGGATGACGCAAGTGGGCGCGCCAGGATTCCAGGAGCTCAGGGACTGCGAGAACGGCTGCCACGTGCGTATGGTTACCGCGCGCAAACCCGGATACCCCTATATGCTTCACCCCGTAGCCACCCACCCAAAGCCTGATCCAAGCCGGTGCAGGATCCTCACCAGGCCGAGCTGCGCCCAGCGGGCGCCTGGGTGCCCGCGTTAGTGCAGGTGTCCATTCGCGTTTGTTGGACGCCTGGCAGGGGAGACCCCACGTAAACTCATCCCCTGTATGACCATTCATTCAACCAAGAAAAAATCCGTTGACAGCCTGTTTTATGTCAAGTACCATGCTGGTCTCTGGGGAGACAGCCCTGATGTAGACAATCCTGTCTTTGTGCTCTTGGAGATTCTGTTTCGCTGGGAATGATAGACGAAAATCAACTGGTATAATAAACAAAATGATTTCGGGTTGTGATAATTCCTGTGAAGGAATTATGGTATGGAGGACAACTGAGGCGCCTAACTTGAAAAAGGGTCATAAGGGAAATTCCCTGGCAGTCTAGTGGTTAGGACTCAGCGCTCTCACTACCGAGGGCCGGGTTCAATCCCTGGTCCGGGAACTAGGATCCCACAAGCCACGAAGTGCGGCAAAAGGAAAAAATAAAATAAAATAAAATAAAATAAAGGGGGTCATAAGCATTGGGTGGGGGCGCTGAGAATGGGAGGAATCACGATCTGGCAGGAACATTGGTTGCTGAAATGAGACCTGGCCTGGAACTTGTCAGTCTACAAGTTTGAGATTTTTTGGTTTTTAAGCCCCAGGTATTGTTCTAAGCCTTGGTAATCCGATGGCGGTAAAATAGCTACAGTTCATGCCCTCATCGAGGTTTTGTTCTAGTGGGGAAGGCAGAGCTAAAAATAAAATGTCAGATAGTGATAAATACCATATAGGAGATTAATATAAGACCATCTCATAATGGCTACTTCAGAGCAGTTGGTCAAGGAAGGCCTTTTCAAGGAGGTGAATTTTACCTGAAATTTAAATAACAAGAAAGCTAGCCATGCAAATAGCAGGGTGAGAAAAATGCCTTTCGGAACTGAGCTTGGCAAGTTAGAAAACAGTAATAGAAAAGAAGCCAGTGTGATTGGTGCACTGTAGGCGAGAAGGAGAGTGGTGTGAGATAGGGTTGGAGAGGTAGGCAATGGCCAGACAACATAAAGCAGGGTACTGAGTTGGAATGTTATACCGTGTGTGATGAGAAGCCATGATCTCATTTATGCTAACTTGTGGCGAGTGGATTGTGGTTGGGGCAGCAGTAGGATCAGGGGTCCTGGTCAGGAGGGCTACTGGTGCATTAGTCCAAGTGAGTCCTGGTACTGACTTGAACTGGAGTGACGGTAGCAGAGAGGAAAGGACGTGGACAGATTTGGGATATGTTTGGAAATGGATTCGCTGGCAGATTGGGTATAGAGAGGGCTCAGGGAAAGAAAAATTAAGATCGACTCCTGTGTTTTTGACTTGAGCAACAGATTGGATGATGGTGGTGTTAACCGAGATGGGGAAAAATGGGGGGAAACCACAGGTCTGGAGAAACGATAAATCAAAATTTCTGTTTTGGCCAGAACAGGCTATCTGTGTTTATGAGATATCTATATGGCAGTGTCACCTAAGCATTTGAATGTACTAGTTTGGAGTTTCAGGGAGAGTCAGAGTTGGATAAAGTTATGGAATCTGTTGGCAGATAGTAACTCGAATCATGTGAAATGGCCATTTTGAGTCAAAAATGGTTGAATGCTGGCAGTTTCATTGGTTCAGTCTCATAGATTGTATTTAAAGCCACAGGTCCGGATGAAGTCTCTTAGGAAGAACATTTAGAGGGAAGAGAAGAAAGGGCACAGTCTTGGGCACCCACCATTTAGAGGTGGAGCAGAAGAGTCGGAGCCAGCACAGGTGACCGAGAAGGAGCAACCAGAAGGGAGAGGAATATCAGGAGAGTGGTGTCGAGAAGCCAAGAGAGGAGGGTGTTTCAGGAAGTAGAGAATGAATAAATCAAATGCTGCTGAGAGGTCGAATAAGGTAGGAAGTTAAGTGACCTCTAGATTGGCAACGTTGCAGTCTTTGGTGACCTTGACAGAATAGTCAAAGTCAGCCTTGAGTGAGTTAGATTTGAGATGCCTATGAGTTGTCCAAGTGAAGAAGCGAGGCAATGAGCTTCCTTTCCTCCCACTTCCTTGGGAAGAGGGCGTGTACACCTGGGAGACGTGTGTGTGTGTGTGTGTGTGTGTGTGTGTGTGTGTGTGTGTGTGTGAGAGAGAGAGAGAGAGAGAGAGAGAGAGAGAGAGAGAGAGAGAGGGCGGGGGTGGGGGGGAGAGAAGGAGAGGGAGGGAGGGAGAGAGAGAGAGAGAGAGAGATCAGAGCTGAATGAATGGTGCAGATCAGAAGCCCTCAGCTCTGCTAGGAGGGAGGTGGCCCTGAGCACTGGAGCAGTGATGAAGGCCTCCCAGAGTTGGTGAGACCTGTACTCACCTTGACAAATGGGAAAGCTTTGGACAGGATAGGGATAGGCATAGGCATTCTAGGATGGGGCAAAGGAATGGCGAGGAGGCTAGGCAGGGTTTAGTGAGTAAAGCCAGGGTCCTATCGAGAAGCAGTGGGATCAGAAGTTGAAAAGTAGTTGGGGAATAGATGTGGAGAGCCTTTGACTGTCAGGCTAAAGGCTTTGGATTTACCTTGAGCAGGGAGATAATATTTTGAAACAGTGAAGTAGAAGAACTATCATTTGACTTCACTGGCCAGCCCCGTCCAGCTCATCCTTCAGGTTCACGCTTAGATGCCATTTCCCTTAGGAAGGCTTTCCCACTCCTAAAGTGCTAGGTTGGTACCCACAGTCCTGTGGCCTTGACCACACTGGACGGGAAATGTCTGGACACATTTATGCCTCAGTGCCCCCACTGCTTTCCCCCACCACATCCCTAATGCTTCCACAGCCTCAGCTGTCCTTGAAACTTGAAATCAGTTCAACAGATAGGCTCTAGTGAATGTTATTTTTTCTGACTCATCTCGCCAGCAAAGGACACCTACAGAGATGTCCTCAGTCCTTCACTTCTATGTCCGTCCCTCTGGCCACGAGAGGGCAGCCTCTGAATATACTCAAAGGAAGCTGCAAGGGGAACTGCCAGAGCTGCAGGGTGTCAAGACCGAGCTGTGCTACAATGTGAACTGGACAGGTTGGGCCACTTACTGGATTCTTCGGGAGAGGTGCCAAGTGCCAGGGGCAGTGTCTCAAGGTGTCCTTGCCCTGTCTCCCTGCAGCTGAGTCCTCCCCGAGCGCCGAGGAGATGAAGAAGCTGACGTGGCTGTTTGGCTGCCCCTTGTTACTGGACGATGTCGCTCAGGAGTCCTGGCTCCTTCCCGGCCCCACTGACCTGCTGCTGGAGGTCGGGCCCAGGCACGTGTCTCAGCCTCGGGTAGCTCGTTCCACGGTCCAGAGCCTGTCAGCCTTTCCAGACACACTGCCACCCCTTTCACTTTCATTCCTCTTCCTCCTCTTGCGGTCCTTGGGAGACTAGTTTTCCCTTCATCCTACTCCCCGCCTAGAAAGCTGGGCACATGCTTTCCCCATGTGGGAAGATACCTTTGAAGACTGAGCCAGCTGCCAGGCATGTTCTGGAAATACGACACGTTGTATCCTGAGAAGTTGAAATTGAAGCATTTTGTTGCTACAGGAACAGTTATGGTTTGATTTGAATGACCTTTGAAAGCAGGTTTCTTGGTGCCCAGGTCTGAGGCTGGAGGCCAGCGGTGTGGGCAGGTGCGGGGGGGTGGTAAGTAGAGGTGGGAGATTGCCTGGACAGCAGTGGGCAGCATCCACCTTCTCAGCTGGGGCTCTAACCATCTGGTCCTAACCAATCCACAGGCTGAACTTCTCCACGCCAACATCCAGCAACATCGTGTCAGTGTGCCAGGCTGCGGGGCTGGGGGCCGTGGACCGCGTGGAGCCGACCCGGCGCTACCTGCTCTCGGTGAGCTCGTAGGCAGCCAGGTGGGCATCAGGAGGAGGAAGCGGAAGAGATTTTGGGTCCTAAACTCTAAGGAAACGCTGAGAAGCAGGGGGAGGAGTTCCTGCTTTGACGCCTGCCCTGTTTGCAGGTTGTTCACTGCCTGAGGCCACCTGGTCAAGGAGTGAATAGGACAGAAACCCAGCCTGTGCTCCCCTTACTAATCTGTGCGTGCTGACAGGGACTCATGCCTGGAAGGAGCGTCTTTTTCTAATCTGAACCAAGGTGCCAGAGAGGCTAGCAGTGGGCTGGTCCTGTGTGGCTTGGAGGACGAGGGTGGACCATCTTGTCCATTCTTCAACCCTGCACCCCTCGCCTTCTGTGTGTGTCTCCACCCCTAGTTTGCCCACCCGCCTTCGGCTGAGCTGGAAGCCATCGCCCTGGCTACCCTGCATGACCGGATGACGGAGCAGCACTTCCCCTGTCCCATCCAGAGCTTCTCCCTGGGGTGCACCCCAGCACCCCTTGGCGGCCCAATTGACATACTGGCCGAGGGCCGGTCTGCCCTGGAGAAAGCCAACCAGGAGCTAGGTGCGCAGGGGTCCCTGGAGGAAGGCCCAGGCCAGGCTAGTAGGGGTGCTGAGTCCCACAGTCAGCTCTTCTGGTGGTTTTCTCCTAGGTCTGGCCCTAGACTCCTGGGACCTGGATTTCTACACCAAACGCTTCCAGGAGCTGCAGCGGAACCCCAGCACTGTGGAGGCCTTCGACTTGGCTCAGTCCAATAGGTGGGGAGGAATGGGGACATTCTGATGTCTGAGCCCGTGGAGGTTGGAAGGGAAGACCGCAGGGACTCTGCATGGCTCTCTCTTGGCCTAGGGGCCTCCCTGAGTCTGTCTGAGTACCTGGGTTCTCCATCCATCCCGTAGTCTGCATTCACATCTTGGTTTTATCTTCACGCTGGATCTGGACCATCCACAATGACAGACTGTTGGAAGCTTATGACTTCTGGAATCTGTTTTGACCTGTGGCCGTAACTCTGCCGTTTATGCTGATGAGAAGACATGGCAAGGCCTGAGAAATGACCCATGTTTCCACCCTGCCTTTCCCTCCCCACGTCACCCCCTGCAGTGAGCACAGCCGACACTGGTTCTTCAAGGGCCGACTCCACGTGGATGGGCAGGAGCTGGCACACTCGCTGTTTGAGTCCATCATGAGCACCCAGGCATCCTCGCACCCCAACAACGTCCTCAAGTTCTGTGACAACAGCAGGTGGGCTGTGCCCTCAGCTGGGGTGACCTCAGACCCAGGGAATGGGAGGCCCCAGGCTCTGGTGGGGTAAGTGCAGATGCCAGGAAGGAAGTGAGACTCAGAACGGATGTGTCCACAGTGCAATCCAGGGGAAAGAAGTCCAATTCCTGCGTCCCGAGGACCCCTCACGGCCAAGCTGCTTCCGGCAACGTCAGGGGCTGAGACATGTCGTCTTCACGGCAGAGACCCACAACTTCCCCACAGGTGAGATGAGTCCCCAGGAGGGATAGGCAGGGTCAGAGTATAGGGTAGGGCAAAGGCCCCAGGCCCACCTGGGGACCAGCAGGTTGGCTGCATGTCCTTATTTTCAGTGGGGTGGTCAGAGGTGGAGTTTGCCTTTTCAGTACCCATACCCTCCCTCTCTCTGCACAGGAGTAGCCCCCTTCAGCGGTGCGACCACTGGCACGGGGGGCCGGATCCGAGATGTCCAGTGCACAGGCCGCGGGGCCCACGTGGTGGCAGGCACTGCTGGCTATTGCTTTGGAAACCTGCACATCCCAGGTCCCGTCTCTTTCCTCTCTACCCATCTCCCCTTCCAGATCCCTTGTCCTGGCAGGCACTTATCTCTTAGGTCAAAGGGTCATCATGGGTACCTTTTCTTGGGAGGGAGGGCTCTAGAATAGCTGGCCTTTCGCCAACCATGGTTGTGAGGACGGTAGGCCAAGGAAGACCCAGATCTGGCTTTGCAGAACCACAATTTTCTTTATAAACCAGTATCTACTTAGCCAAAAACAATTGTGGTACTGGCTTGGACTTACGGCCCTCAACTGCCCCCCAAATCCAATTGTTTTGTTTTGTTTTGTTTTGATGTGGACTATTTATAAAGTCTCTGTTGAATTTGTTTATTGCTTCTGCTTTTATGTTTTGGTTTTCTGACTGCGAGGCACGCGGGATCCTAGCTCCCCGACCAGGGATCGAACCCACACCCTCCGTCCCCCACGCCCACCCCCCGAACTGGAAGGGGAAGTCTTAACCACTGGACAGCCAGGGAAGTCCCAAAGTCCAGTTTCTCGGAAAGTGTTAAGAACTCTGGTCCCAAGAGTCAGACTCTTCCTGAAGGCCGTGACTCCTCCATCTTCCATCTCTACAGTCCACCCATCTTTCTCCTTGCTGCCCAGGTTACAGTATGCCCTGGGAGGATCCAAGCTTCCAGTATCCTGGGAACTTTGCCCGACCCCTGGAGATTGCCATCGAGGCCAGTAATGGGGCTTCTGACTACGGCAACAAGTTTGGAGAACCGGTTCTGGCTGGTGAGGCTTGCGGGGGCGTGGGGGATAACAGTCCCAGAGGCGGGGTGGGGTGAGATGTGTGACCCAGCGAGCGCTGAGGAGCCTGGCCGACCAGACCCTGTCCCCTGTCCTTGTGCCATCCACGCTCCAGGCTTTGCCCGTTCCTTGGGCCTCCAGCTCCCAGATGGCCAGCGGCGCGAGTGGATCAAGCCCATCATGTTTAGTGGAGGCATTGGGTGCATGGAAGCTGAGCATGTGAGCAAGGAGCCCCCAGAGCCAGGTAAGAGCCCGCCACCTGTCTACCAGGTCCAGCCAGCTTTCTCCCCAGCACGTGGCAGCCGCAGGAGTGGAATTTACAGGAACTTCAGTGGTTTGTTTTTTATCTCCCAGCTCATGTCTCCTCTCCCCCGTACAGGCCTTCAAGGCAGGGCAGGGCTTTATGCCAGTGGGGCAGGCTCAGTCTGTGTGGCCTGTTTCTTCCCGGGTTGACTTCTGCATGGCAGAGGCCCACCCTGCTAAGTCAAGGCAGCCAGTGTTTATTCAGGGCCTGTTTTTATCTGCAAGCTCAGTTCAATCGGTCGACATTTACTGAGCGCCCATCGGGTGCTGGGCACCATGCTAGGACCTGTGGTGGAATCAAGATAAAGGCCAGGTACCATTTATTGAATGGGTGACCTGTCACATGGCTCAGAATTTAAAAAGCAAAGAAAGGTTATACAGTGGAAACTCTCCTTCCCCTGACCTTCAGCCACCCAGTTTCCCTCCCTAGAGATAACCAATGTTAATTGGTTACTTATGTACCCTACCAGAGGTTTTTCCTGCATACATAAACAGACCCATGTGTATATTTGCCCCCCCTTGTTTAAACAAATAGCACGTGTGCACACCTTTTTTTTCTTTTTGGCCTCGCTGCGCAGCTTATGGGATTTTAGTTCCCCGACCAGGGATCGAACCCGGGGCCCCAGCAGTGAGAGCGCTGAGTCCTAACCACTGGACCGCCAGGGAATTCCCCACCCATTTTTTTAATAACCATTTTATTAAGATGTAATTCATATAACATAAAGTTTACCCTTGTAAAGTGTACAAGTCAGTGGTTTTAGTATATTCACAAAGTTGTGCATCAATCACCACTAATTCCAGAACATTTTCATCATCCCAGAAAGAAACCCTGCACCCACGAGCAGTCACTACCCATGCCCCCTTCCTCAGCCTCTGGAAACCAATAATCTACTTTCTGTCTCGATGAATTTCCCTGGTATAAATGTTGTGTTTGGCTTCTTTCACTTTGTGTGATGTCTTAAAGGTTCATCCATGTTATAGTATGTATCAGTACTTCATTCCTTTTTATGGCTGAATAATATTCCATCGTGTTGCTATATCATTTTGTCTCTCCATTCATCGGCTAGTAGACATTTGGGTTGTTTCTGCTTTTCGGCTATTATGAATCATGCTGCTATAAACATTTTATTTATTTATTTTTGCCTGCACTGGGTCTTCGTTGCTGCACGCGGGCTTTCTCTAGTTGTGGCGAGCGGGGGCTACTCTTCGTTGTGGTGCGTGGGCTTCTCATTGCCGTGGCTTCTCTTGCTGTGGAGCACGGGCTCTAAGCGCATGGGCTTCAGTAGTTGTGGCTCGCTGGCTCTAGAGCCCAGGCTCAGTAGTTGCGGTGCACGGGCTTGGTTGCTCCAAGGCATATGGGATCTTCCCGGACCAGGGCTCCTGCATTGGCAGGTGGATTCTTAACCACTGCGCCACCAGGGAAGCCCTGCTATAAACATTTGTGTACAAGTTTTCCTATGTACTTATGTTCTGAATTCTCTTGGGTAGGTAACTAGGAGTGGACTTGCTAGGTCACATGATAACTGTACCCAGTCTTTGAAGCAGCTGCACCATTTTACATTCCCCTCAGCAGTGTGTGAAGGTTCCGATTTCTCCAGATCCTTGCCAACTCTTATCTGTCTCTCTGATTATAGCCATCATAGTGGATGTGAAGTAGTATCTTATGGTGGTTTGGGTTTGCATTTCCCTAATGACTCAGGATGTTAAGCATCTTTTCCTGTTTCTTGGCTATCTGTATACCTTCCTTGGAGAAATATCTATTCATGTCCTTGGCCAATTTTAAGTTGGTTTTTCTTTTTTTTTTTTTGGAGTGTAAGTTAGAGTTCTTTGCATATTCTGGGTACTAGCCCCTTACCTGATAGGTAAATGATTTGCAAATATTTTCTTCCATTCTGTGGGTTGTCTTTTTACTTTCTTCATGGTGTCCCCTGAAGCACAAATGTTTTTGATTTTGGTAAAGTATAATTTATCTGTATATTTTTTCTTTGTGGCTTCTGGCTTATAGTGTCACGACTAAGAAACCACTGCCTAAGCCAAGGTCACCAAGAGTGACTCATATATTCTCTGGTAATACTTTTATAGCTTTTAGCTTTCACGTTTAGGTCTCTGATACATTTTGAATTTTTGTATATGGTATGAAGTAGGGATCCAACTTCCTTCTTTCACATGTGGATATCCAGTTGTTCTAACAAAATCCTTTTTGTAAAAAACTGTTCTTACCCCCATTGAATTGTCTTGGGACTCTTGCCAAAAATCAGTTGGCTATAAATGTTTGGGCTCATTTATGGACTCACAGTTCTATTCCAATGACCTATCTATCTACCTGTCTCCTTCTGCTAGTAACACACTGTCTTGATTACTGTAGCTTTGCAGTACGTTTAAAAGCAGAAAGTATGAGTCCTTCAATTTTGTTCTTCTTTTTCAAGATTGTTTTGGCTTTGTTCTAGGTCCCTCGAATTTCCATATAAATTTTAGGATCAGCTGGTCAGTTTCTTTGAAAAAGGTGACTGATTGTGTTGACTCTGCAGTTCGCTTTGGGGAGTATTGCCATTGTAACAATATGAAGTCTTCCGATCTATAAGCATGAGATCTCTTTCAATTTATTTAGGCCTCCTAAGATATTTCATAATTTTCAGTGTGTAAGTCTTAAGTATTTTATTCTTGTTGATGCTGTTCTAAGTGGGTAGGTATACTTCTGCACCTTTCACTGCTGAGGGCTTGGATTCAATCTCTGGCTGGGGAACTAAGATCCTGCAAGCCGCGCGGCATAGCCAAAAAAAAAAAATTCTCTGTTTCGGTGGCTTAGTTTTTCATTATATGGCTTATACCATAATTTATTTAACCAGTTCTCTGTTGTTAGCATTTAGATTATTTCTTGTCTTTGGTAATACAAATAATGCTGCAGTATTTAATTTTGTACGTAGGTGATTTGTACCTGTGCGAATAAATCTGGAGGGTAAATTCCTCAAAGTGTATTTACCCAATCAAAGAATTTTGATTGCTCTCCTCTAATACCAGCTTCCCTTTATCCTCACACTGCTTCGTTCTCACACGTCTGGTCACTTCCCGGGTGTTCTGATTCTGCCCTCCTTCCTCGCAGGCATGGATGTTGTGAAGGTTGGGGGTCCTGTCTACAGGATTGGAGTCGGGGGCGGAGCTGCTTCGTCCGTGCAGGCAAGTGCAAATAGCGCAGGTGCCAACTCCATGACATCTCTGGGCCCCATGCATGGGTGGGGTGTGAGCTCCCAGCCCCCCTGAGCTGAGATGTGCCATCTGTCCTCCCAGGTGCAGGGAGACAACGCCAGCGACCTGGACTTCGGGGCTGTGCAGCGGGGAGACCCGGAGATGGAACAGAAGATGAACCGTGTGATCCGGGCTTGCGTGGAGGCCCCCGGAGGAAACCCCATCTGCAGCCTTCATGACCAGGGTGCCGGTGGCAATGGTGAGAGGAGGGGTTGGGACGGAGGACCAGGCCTACGTGGTCTCCTGCCAGGTTCAGTTTGGGGAGAGGTATCGCGGATCTGCAACCAACCAGCTAGCTCTGGGCCCCACTCTGCACCCACTACACGTTCTGGATGGACTCAGGGTTAGTTGCTGGAGAGGGTGCAGTAGCGGTTCAAACAGGGATGCACAGAATTAGGGGCTCCTTTGGAGGCTGGGAACGGCCTTTTGTTTGCCCGGTACTGACCAGGGCCAGATGAGAGCCTCTCCCGGAAACCCTCTCACCAGGCAACGTCCTGAAGGAGCTGAGTGACCCAGCTGGAGCCGTCATTTATACCAGCCGCTTCCAGGTGGGTCTCCTCCCTGAAGTCTGATTGTCTCCCTGCCCCTGTCAGTCCCAGCCGGCCCCACCCATCTGTCCCCCACTCCCAGCAAGAACATGAGACTGGGAGCACCCGCTGACCCTTCCCTTTCGTCCTCCCCCATGGATGTGCAGCTCGGGGACCCGACCCTGAACGCCCTGGAAATCTGGGGGGCTGAGTACCAGGAGTCAAATGCACTTCTGCTGAGGCCCCCCGACCGGGACTTCCTGAGTCGTGTCAGTGCCCGGGAACGCTGCCCAGTTTGCTTTGTGGGCACCATCACGGGAGACGGGAGGGTGAGTTGGCTCAGGGAGTCGGTAACAGATGCTGTGCGTGGGCTTGCCCAGGAGGGAGGGTGTCTCAGGAAAGAGACGAGAGCATGGGCGCCGTGGGGACCAGCGTGGGGCCGGGGGGCTCAACAGGAGAAGCCAAGTGGGGTGGACAGAGCACCTCTGCCCGGCTTTCCAGAAGTGTTTATTCCCTGCTGGTGGTCACAGTCTCGTTCTCTCTGGGCGGTGTCCCTGTGGTCTACAGATAGTGCTGGTGGACGATCGGGAGTGTCCTATGGGAAGAGATGGCCAGGGGGATGCCCCCCCAACACCTCCCCCGACACCTGTGGACCTGGATCTGGACTGGGTGCTGGGCAAGATGCCCCGGAAGGTATGTGGGGGGCGGGAGGTTTCTCCTTCTCTGGCCCAGCCCTTCAGACCATCATCTGCCCTACACGTGCTTTGTCACCTGTGTGCCCAGCACCTCCCCAGGCGCTCACACCACTGTTGCCACCTGTGTTGCAGGAGTTCTTCCTCCAGAGGAGTCTCCCCGTGCTGCGGCCCCTGGCCTTGCCCCCAGGGCTGAGCGTGCGCCAGGCCCTGGCATGGGTCCTCAGGCTGCCTGCGGTGGCCAGCAAGCGCTACCTCACCAGCAAGGTCTGCCCCGCACCCTTGCTCCGCCCTCTCAGCCCTCTGCGCCCTTCCCTCTGCTCGCCCAGCCCAGGGGATGGCTGTGGGAGCCCACCGGGCCCGAGGGGGACGTGGCAGGGGCAGGGCAGCTACCCCGATGGCCTAAGCCCCTGCTGTCCACCCTGAGCCTTGTTGTGTCCAGGGTGAGCCAGGCCTCCTTCCACCCCCTTGTCCCTGTCCCTTGGCCTCTTGCTAACTCCACCTGGTTCCGCAGGTGGACCGCTCCGTGGGCGGCCTGGTGGCACAGCAGCAGTGTGTGGGACCCCTGCAGACCCCTCTGGCAGATGTGGCGGTGGTGGCACTGAGTCACCAGGAGCTCGTAGGGGCTGCCACAGCCCTGGGAGAGCAGCCCGTCAAGAGCCTGCTAGACCCCAAGGTTGCTGCCCGGCTGGCTGTGGCTGAAGCCCTCACGAACCTGGTGTTTGCTCTGGTCACCGACCTCCGGGTGAGTCCCCTGCAGCTTCTGTCCTGGAGCCCCCGGCCTCTGGGACGCAGATGCGACCACCGCCTGCTCACCCCTCTGCCCGCAGCCTCTCCACACCGCCCTCCCTCCCTAACGCGAGTCTCTGCCGCTTCCCAGGACGTGAAATGCAGCGGGAACTGGATGTGGGCGGCCAAGCTCCCGGGGGAGGGTGCGGCTCTGGCCGACGCCTGTGGGGCTGTGGCAGCCGTGATGGCGGCCCTGGGTGTGGCAGTGGATGGTGGCAAGGACTCCCTCAGCATGGCTGCCCGGGTTGGCGCTGAGACCGTGCGGGCTCCTGGTGAGCTCTGGGCGCCCAAGGGCGAGGGGCGGCTCTGTGGGCCGGGCTGCGCCTCACTCTCCACTCCTTGCTCTGCAGGGTCGCTGGTCATCTCAGCCTATGCTGTCTGTCCAGACATTACAGCCACTGTGACCCCAGACCTCAAGTGTCCCGGAGGGAGAGGTACGGGTTCTTCCCTCTCCTCCGTGCACTGTGGATTCACAGCCTGGTCCTTTGTTTGGGGTCTGCTTCGTGAGTGCTGGGCCCCCTCGTTCAGCACTGGGGCGTGGTGCCTTCTGGGGCTGGTGGTCTGGGTGCCTCACCACGTCCTGGAAACTTCAGTGAGCACGGCGGGAGGGCTTCTCCTGAGCCAGCCATCTCCCCTCACCGCGCCCCTGTCTCCCCAGGCCACCTGCTCTACGTGCCTCTGAGTCCTGGGCGCCATCGGCTCGGGGGCACAGCTCTGGCCCAGTGCTTCTCCCAGCTCGGCGAGCAGCCTCCCGATCTGGACCTTCCCGAGAACTTGGTGCGAGCCTTCGGCATCACCCAGGGGCTGCTGAAAGGTGAGTGAGGCCCTGGAGGAGACGGTGCCTGTGGCTGACACGGGGCAGGCACTGGCCAGCTGAGCACGTGCTGGGGGGCGAAGAGGGGTCTGACGCCCTTCTCTCTGGTTCTCTGAGCGAGCCCACACTCTCGCCCCCGTCTTCTCCCAACTGCCCAGAAGGGGGGCGGGGCTGCCAGGTTTGGGTCCCAAGGCTGCCAAGCATTTTATTCCTTCCTCCAGACCGCCTCCTCTGCTCAGGCCACGATGTCAGTGACGGAGGTCTCATCACCTGCCTGCTAGAGATGGCCTTTGCTGGGAATTGTGGGATAGAGGTGGCCGTCCCTGCCCCTGGGGTCAATGGTGAGGAGCCTGAGGTCTAGGTTCCAGCCTGGGCTGCCTGCCCCATCCTGTGGACCGTCCCCATGTCCTATTAAAGAGTAGAGTGTCCCCAACTCCTTTTCCCCTGAGTCCCTTGCTATCTTTTCTGACCACTGAGTCAGGTGGCACCTCTGAAACCTCCTGCAGACCCTGAGGCCACATCCTTGGTCCTGCTTTCCCAGGCCTCACCCCATCCCTGACCTCTGCCTTTGTTCCTTTAGCCATAGCCCCCTGACTCCACCTCTGAGTCCCTGGCAATACCCTAGTCACCTTGACCCCTCTGTTACTCTCCCAGCGCTGCCTGTACTGTTCGCTGAGGAGCCAGGCTTGGTGCTGGAGGTGCAAGAGCCAGACCTGGCCCAAGTACTGACACGTTACCGGGAGGCTGGCCTCCACTGCCTGGAGCTGGGCCGCACGGGCAGCGCCGGGCCCCATGCCACGGTGAGGAAGTGAGGAATGGCAGGCCTGCAGAGGGAAGGTCGTGGTTTGCCTCTGCCAGCCTTGGAGGGGGCCCAACGTGGACATCTTTGCTCTCAGCCCCTGAAAGATCTGCCCCCGTCTCTAGGTCCGGGTATCAGTGAACGGGGCTGTCGTTCTGGAGGAGCCCGTTGGGCAGCTACGAGCCCTCTGGGAGGAGACCAGTTTCCAGCTGGATCGGCTGCAGGCAGAGCCCCACTGTGTGGCCCAGGAAGAAGGAGGGCTGAGGGAGCGGACGGGGCCCACCTACTGCCTGCCCCCCACCTTCCCCACAGCTTCCGTGCCTCATGAGCCTGGTGAGGAAACATGTGTAGTGGCTTGGCTGCCTGGGCACTTTGGGGAGGAGCCCAAGGCTTGGATGCGGGGCCTGCCCTGGACAAGGTGTCTGGGGCGCTGGGGTGCGGAAGTAACCCTCTGGCACAAGGACACTCCTCCCCCCAGGTGGCCCCGCCCCCCGCATTGCCATCTTTCGAGAAGAAGGCAGTAACGGAGACCGGGAGATGGCCGATGCCTTCCACTTGGCTGGGTTTGAGGTGAGCAGCTTGCCCGGCAGAGCCGGGGCTGGGCTTTGGGCCATGGGCCCTCTGACACTTGCCCTCCCCCTCCTGCCAGGTGTGGGACGTGACCATGCAGGACCTCTGCTCTGGAGCAGTCAGGCTGGACACGTTCCAAGGCATGGCCTTCGTGGGCGGCTTCAGCTACGCAGACGTCCTGGGCTCTGCCAAAGGTGGGTGTGCGGCCCTGCCCACTCGCTCCCCGCACGTTCCTGAAGAGCTGCCTTAGCCCCCTTCTACCTTGACTGAGAACTGGCCTCTCGCCTCCATAAGGCTGGCTGGGGAAGCGTGAGCGCATTCATTCTGGGCCAGCCGCCAGCAGGCCTGCAGGTAGCCTTTTTTTTCATTCATTCGTTCATTCATTGACTGCATTGAGTCTTCGTTGCTGCACGTGGGCTTTCTCTAGTTGAAGCGAACGGGGGCTACTCTTCATTGCATTGCGCAGGCTTCTCGTGGTGGCTTCTCTTGTTGCGGAGCACGGGCTCTAGGCACGCGGGCTTCAGTAGTTGTGGCACACGGGCTCAGTATTTGTGGCTCGCGGGCTCTAGAGTGCAGGGTCAGTAGTTGTGGCGCACGGGCTTAGTTGTTCCGTGGCATGTGGGATCTTCCCGGACCAGGGCTCGAACCCGTGTCCCCTGCATTGGCAGGCGGATTCTTAACCACTGCACCACCAGGGAAGCCCTCTGCAGGTAGCTTGTGAGGCAGGTGGGCTGGGTGGCACTGTGCCAAGCCCGGGGGCATGTGCCCTGTCAGAAGCAGCAGCTGCTACTCAGCTCCAGCAGGCTGTCCTGTCGGAAAGCAGGCTCGGCACAGCCAGATCTTTCTGTTTCTCAAGATAAGCCAGAAATCCTGATTAAATGTTAGGCAACTGAATAAAAAATTTTGAAAATGCTCTGTTGCCTAAGCAGAAAACTCGTCATGGGCCGTCTCAGGCCCAGGAGTTGGCAACATCTGTTTCAATCAGTTAAACCTGCTTTTTTTCCCTGGCGTTTGCCCTGAGCTCTGCAAAGGGGGGAGGTCCTGAGCGAGTGTAATGGGGCACGCTGGGATGGAAAGGCGACAGTCCCCCCTCATTCCGGTGCTCACCCCAGCCTCCTGTTCCTGCCTAGGGTGGGCAGCCGCTGTGACCTTTAACCCCCAGGCCGGGGCTGAGCTGAGGCGCTTCCGGCAACGGCCAGACACCTTCAGCCTGGGCGTGTGTAACGGCTGCCAGCTGCTGGCCCTGCTGGGCTGGGTGGGAGGCAGTCCTGGTGACGAGGCGGCAGAGATGGGCCACGAGTCCTGGCCGGCCCGGCCTGGCCTCCTGCTGCGCCACAACCAGTCTGGGCGTTTCGAGTCGCGCTGGGCCAGCGTGCGAGTGGGGCCCGGGCCGGCCCTGATGCTGCGAGGGATGGAGGGTGCCGTGCTGCCCGTGTGGAGCGCCCATGGGGAAGGTCAGGCTCCGGGGAGTCGGGGAGGGCCTGAGGGCAAGGGTGGGGGAGGACGCCAGGGAGCTCTGCTCTCACGTCCCTCCTTCCCTCGTCCCTCCTTCTGCCCCAGGTTACATGGCATTTTCTTCCCCGGAACTCCAAGCCCAGATTGAGGCCAGGGGCTTGGCTCCGCTGCACTGGGCAGACGATGACGGCAACCCCACGGAACAGTACCCCCTGAATCCCAACGGGTCCCCAGGGGGCATGGCTGGCATCTGCTCCCCCGATGGCCGCCACCTGGCTCTCATGCCTCACCCTGAGCGGTCTGTGAGGCCTTGGCAGTGGGCGTGGCGACCTCCTCCGTTTGACACTATGACCACCTCCCCCTGGCTCCAGCTCTTCATCAATGCCCGAAACTGGACCCGGAAAGGAGGCTGCTGAGCAGGCCGGGGAGACTCCCCTGGGCCCCGGGGTTTTCACCCACGGTGTCTTTAGAAGTACCTCATATTATTTCTGTGTGTCTTGGACAGACAAGGACCAAAATGCCCAAAAAAACCTTGGCTAATTTTATGAATCTGTCTATGCCTTACGCTGTTGGATCTGTTTTCAGTTCTGTTCTAACACGTTTTGTCCTTTGTGGGCCTGGGAAGCAACATGCGGTTCAGAGAAACTTCCTGCGGTGGGAAGTTAGGATGCATGGGGGGAGGGGGTTCCATTGCCCCGCTTCGCTGCACCACATCACTTATGTCACTCATCTGAGCTCGGAGGGATGTCCTATGCCCCCCTTCCTCGTCGGGGTTTAAGGGGATGGGGGAGGACAAAAGCAAGCAACTCAGGACCTCAGCGTGCTCATCTGGAAAACAGCAGAAGCTTTCTGGATTCTTCTTTCTATTTTTATTTTATTTTTTAAACTTTAGATAGAGAATTTTAATTAAATTGGCATCGTTAAGACCAAAAAGATAAAATGGACATTGTCAGTGTATCTTCAGCCCTTGCTTCAACAGGCAAATGAACACAGCTTGAAACACACGTGAATTTTGCTTGTCTGTGAGACAGTGAAGGGAGCTTCTCAGTACTTAAATATATTAATATAACCAGTTATAGAAATCTAAATCTAAAACCAATCTCCTATAGGGTTTGAGAAGGCATTCACCATATCCCTGAAAAGTTTAACATTCCTTATTCAAGTTTAATCATCTCTTTAGAAGGGGAAAACAGTGATAGTACTTGTTGAACCAGAATTACTATCAAAATTCAAAAAGCTGACCATATTCATTTAGCCACAAGCCAATCTTATTCAAATCAGGACAGAAAGACTACATCATCCGTTCATGATCTGAAGTCTGCTATATGAGATCAATTTAAATGTGGTACACATAAAAAGTCATGAGACATTTGTTTCATAATAAATAAGGCAATGGCCAACTATTACTCATTAGTAGCTTTTTTGAGATAAGCTATCAAGTCTGCCCTTTGCGGTACGCGGGCCTCTCACTGTTGTGGCCTCTCCCGCTGCAGAGCACAGGCTCCGGACGCGCAGGCTCGGCCATGGCTCACGGGCCCAGCCGCTCTGCGGCATGTGGGATCTTCCCGGACCAGGGCACGAACCCGTGTCCCCTGCATCGGCAGGCGGACTCTCAACCACTGCGCCACCAGGGAAGCCCTTGATTCTTCTTTTTAAATGCAGTGCTGTGCTAAGTGTAAGCAGTTGTTGGCAGCTTCTGTGACAGTGTCTCCAGCTGAGTCATAGGACTGCCCTGGTGCTGGCCTCTGAACTCAATATTCCTGATCTTTGCTTCTCCTAGTTTAGCAGCTCCCTTCCTTATCCCTAGCACTGAGCCTTTAGTATGCATTTATTCTTTCATTCGTTCATTCATTCATTCCATTAATTTTCGATGGTTTGCTACAGTGCCAAGCACTGTCGCTGCCACCAGGGAGTTTATGGTCTAATAGGCTTTAAAATAATATCTGTGGGACTCCCTGGTGGCGCAGTGGTTAAGAATCTGCCTGCCAATGCAGGGGACACGGGTTCGAGCCCTAGTCTGGGAAGATCCCATATGCCGTGGAGCAACTAAGCCCGTGTGCCACTACTGAGCCTGTGCTCTAGAGCCCACAAGCCACAACTACTGAGCCTGTGTGCCACAACTACTGAAGCCCACGCGCCTAGAGCCCGTGCTCCGCAACGAAGACCCAACACAGCCAAAAATAAATAAATAAATTTTAAAAATCCGCCTGCCAACGCAGGGGACACGGGTTTGAGCCCTGGTCCAGGAAGATCCCACATGCCGCGGAGCAACTAAGCCCATGCGCCACAGCTACTGAGGCTGCGCTCTAGAGCCCGTGCGCCACAACTACTGAGCCCATGAGCCGCAACTACTGAAGCCCACGTGCCTAGAGCCTGTGCTCCGCAACGAGAAGCCACCGCAATGAGAAGTCCACACACCACAACGAAGAGTAGCCCCTGCTCTCCACAACTAGAGAAAGCCTGTGTGCAACAACGAAGACCCAATGCAACGCAGCCATAAATAAATAATAAAAAATAAAATAATACCTGTATGTGATGTGTATATATATATATATATATATATATATATATATATACACACACACACACACAACAGGATAGTATTCAGCCACAAGAAAGAAGGAAATCCTGCTGTGTGCGACAACATGGATGGACCTTGAAGGCATTATGCTCAGTGAAGTAAGTCAGACAGAGATAGACAAGTACTATGTGATCTCACTTATATGTAGAATCTAAAAAAAGCTGAACTCAGAAACAGAGACTAGAATGGCGGATGGGGGAAAGGGGGATGTTGGTCAAAGGGTACGAACTTCCAGATATTAGATGAACAGGCTCTGGGGATCTGAGGTACAGCATGGTGATTATAGCTAATGATACTGTATCATATACTTGAAAGTTGCTACCAGAGTAGATCTGAAATGTTCTTACCAGGAAAAAGAAGTAGGAATTATGCGATGTGATGCAGGTGTAAGGTGTGATGCAGGTGTACGGTATGGTGGTAATCACTTGCTAGTGTATCAGATCAACACTTTGTACACCTTAAACTCACATAATGTTATATGTCAACTATATCTCAATAAAGCTGAAAAGAAATAGTATCTGTATATGGCACCTGCCATGAACCAAGCATATGCTAGGATTTTATATGTAACTAAATTATTTTTCATAAGAGTTCAGCAAAGTACTTGATAGCCCCCCTCCCTTTTTAAAACAAAGGAAGAATTAAGGTTAAATAAATTGCAGCATTTGCTTCCTACTGCCCTGCAATCACATTTCCGGAGGCAGCATCGGCAGGACTTCTTGCTGACAGCTGTCCTTGCTCCCTTTGCTCACAGGAGTGTGTGTAAAGGCCACTTCCTTGTGACCGTTGTGACTGTCCTGTCGTACAGCTCAAGTCAGTTTGCCCCCTGAATAGCTCAACACCTTGGTTAAAGAAATTTCCCTGAGAATGGAGACTGGACTCTCAGATCCCTGAGGGCGGGCTGAGCTGTGCACTCCTAGTAGAGTAGCCTAAGGAGAGACTGATGAAACAGTGTTGAATCATGGCTATGGAGAAAATAACTGTTTCAGGTCTTTTTCTCATTGCTTTGCAAACTGACCTACCCTGAGCAGTCTGCGGGAGTAGGGGTCACTTTTGGCATTTCAGTATTCCTCCCTGATGCTAGGAAGCCGTGTGTGTGTGTGTGTGTGTGTGTGTGTGTGTGTGTGTGTCTGTGTGTGCGTGTCTGTGTGTGTGTGTACATAAAATATAGGTAATCTCAAATGCACAATTTTGAGGGCTGATACCAAGTCTTGGATGTCAGGTTTACAAGCGCTTGACGCAAAAGTAGAAGGATGGTATGTGAGGTACCCTGCTGATTGGCTGTGATAGGTAAATTCATGCATTTTGGAGTTGGAGCCGTTTCTGGTTTAGATTACCCTGGCCAAGCAAGACCCACCCTCGGACACTACCAAAACCAAGTCAGCTCAGCTTCTGTTTTTATCCAGAAGCCTCACAACCCTGTCCTTGCTGGTCCCAACCCAGCTTCTATCTCCCCACCTCTCCCAAAGGCCGTCTAGCAAACTACCGGCTAGCTCTTTTCTGCCTCTCTTTGCCTTCCTGGGAAACCAACTGCTCTGAAAGCCACTCCACAGCCCCTCCATGTGGTGGCGTTTATTCTCAAACCTCATCTCACCTTCCTCCGGCCAGGGAGTTGGGGTTTGGGTCCTCTCTGTACCACTCCCAGATTATTCTCCACCCTTTTCGAAGAAAATCTTGCCCATTTTAGGTTCATACCATTCTATATCACCTTCACCCCCTACTTTGTGTTCTGCTGACTTCCCCATCACTCCCTGTGGAAGGGGATGCCAGCTGTTCCCCGATATCTGATTCCCCTTTCTAGAAATAGGACCCTCCAGTATTTTAGCAGGGGTTGTGGCTGCCCAAAATAAAGATGACATCTCCCAGTGTCCCTTACAGCTGTGACTAAATTCTGTTTTGTTTTTGGCCATGCCACGTGGCATGTGAGATCTTAGTTCCCTGACCAGGGATTGAACCCGTGACCCCTGCAGTAGAAGCATGGAGTCCTAACCACTGGGCCACCAGGGAAGTCCCTGTGACTAAATTCTGATTGGTAGGAGAGAAAATGATGTATACAACTTCTACGTGTTCTTAAAGGAAGGGGTGCAACCTGAACATTTTTCCAATGACTTCCTCCATTCTACCTCGGCCATGGAATTTTGTCATCACCCAGACATGCTTCACTTCCACACTCACTCAAGCACCCTACCTCTGACCATAACCTCCCTTCCTTCCATCATGCATTTTCCTCTTCAGTACTTGGATCTCAAAGTCATCAGGACCTCCAGCTCAATCACATCTTTCCCCCAATCCATTTCTTCTCTCTTTTTCCCTCCTTATCCAACTTCCAGTAACAGCTTTTCCAGTGCCCTTCAACTTGACCCAGTATCTTTTCATCATTCCCATTTGACAAAATCCCAACCCATCAGCTTTCCCAGAGAAAGCCAGACAACAGGGCAGATTGTCCCATTGGAAATTCAGCATTACCCACCTATGGGGGAAACGGGGAATCAGAATGAGAAACAGAGACCAAAGGTAATAAGAGAGGGCACCCAAGTGGAGCAATGATAATAATGTACCGTGAACAGAAGGAGTATGGTGACCTCAGCTCACTACACCCGAGGTCTGAAACAAGACCATTAACAATAATGTCCAAACCTAAGTCTTGTCTTTTTTTTGGGTGTCATCAGTCAACAGCTCTCTGACCAAATTCTTCGTTAGATACTGGAGGCTCCTACGGTAGCATCACACACCTCCTTTTCTAGCCCAAGTCACTGTTGTAATTTCTTTTTCAGCATTGCAATCTTTTGTTGTTGTTGTTTTGTTCTGGGTTTTTTTTTTTTTACCACTGCAATCTTACATTGAACGATGTGTTTCTTTGCTCAACGAGTCGTCTCCTCAGTAGAGTGTAAACTCCATGAGAGCAGGAACTCCATTTCTGCCCTCCACTGTATCCTACCACCTAGCATGGTGCCTGTCACCTACAAGGTGCTCAATAAATATATGTTGAACAAAGGAATAAATGTGAATGTTAAAGTTAGTAAAGGTTGATACACATTTCTTTCCTTAATAGAAGAGTGAACTTATGGGTGGCTTTGGGTGGCTTTGCTTTGCAAGTCCTCAAGCATTTGCCTTTTTGACTTCAGTCCTCCAGTCATTCCAAGTTGCAAGCTCTTGTCCTCATGTCAAATGAAGGACGGTGTATGCATGTGTGGGGGCGGGGGGGGGGCGGCGTGGAGAGACAGGGAGAACCAGTAAGTCTTGTCTCTGTCTTAACACCTGCCTGGCAGCCAACAGGGCCTTCAATTTCACAGAAAAAGACACGGCACTGAACTGAGCATGCGTTCATCCCTTTCAGCCTGATATGTGCTGGAAGGAGGGCTCCAGGAGGGCCGGGCACAGAGTGGGGGACGTGTGTGCAGGGGTCCGGATGGGACCCTTGGAGAAGGCCACTTTCTCCAGAGAGGCTCCCAGCCTCTCTAACAGGCCAGCGCACCCCTGGGCGTCCCTCCAAATAGCACCTGGGACACCCTGCCCAAACCCAGGTGTGGACAACAGGGGTAGAAAGGAAAAAAGGAGGTGGACGCCAGACAGTTGTGAGCCTGTGGGAGGAGGGTGTCCCCCAAAGCAGCTGAGCCTTCAGAGGCCCCGGGGTCCCACAAGCTGTATTTATTTCCCCAGCACCTTCTGCATTCAAGACCCTGGGGCAGAAATCAAAGAAATCCTCAGCCTGTCATTAGACATTTGGGAGCAGCAAACAGCCAGATGGTGGAGCCTCGGGCACTGCTGCGGTGGGGCCTGGGTTAGAGACCTCTCTTGGGCTTCAGGAAAGACCCTCCTATGTGA